CTACATTCGGCATTCTTTCCTTGCTCACTCTGAGTTCCAGCTACAGAGACAATTTCAAGGACCCCGGAAGCATCCTTCCTGAACCTGAGCTGCTTTCTTTGGCTCTGGCAGGCAGGAGTTACCGTAACTAAGTAATAATAAATAAAGTTAAATAATTTCTTAAATTTTTTTTTAAGAAATACAAGATGGGGGCTGGCAGGTGGTGTGGTGATTAAGGGCACTGGACTCCCATATAGCCAACTGCAGTTCAAGTCCCAGACCTGGTGGCTTGCTTTCTCACTCCTACCCCCTTACTCTGTTCTTCTCTGGTCAAATTAAAACAAACAAACAAATAAATAAAATAATCCTTAGAAAAAGAAATACAAGAGGATAGGGGCCAGTAAGTGGCATAGTGATTAAGGTGCTGAGCTCCCACAAGGTTGAGTGCAGTTCACGTCCTGAACCTGGCAGCTTGCTTTTCACTTTCCCTCTCTCTCTCTCTCTCTCTCTGGTAAGCACACATACCCTATAACAAATTTAAAAATAATAACTATCATTATAAATAAATTTTTTAAAATATAAGGGAATTTTCAGAAAGTTCATAGAAAATGCATATGATTTTATACCACAATGAATTCATACTTTCAATTCATTTTTCCACAAACGTTTTGAGGAACCCTCATATATTGCAAGTTACATGAGTAATTCTAAATTTTCTAGTAGCTATGTGTAGTAGGTTAATAGTAATGACCACCCAAAGAATCAACTCCTAATCTCTAGAACTTTTAAGTGTCACTTTCTTTGGGAAAAGGATCTTTGCAAATGTAATTAAATTAGGGACTTCAAGATGAGGATAGTACTCTGGATCATCCAGGTAGGCCCTAAATGCCCTCACAAGTGCCCTCTTAAAAGAGAAGCAAAGGGAGACCAGCAGATGGTGTAATGGTTATGTCGCTTGATTCCCACGTAGTCGTTCACGGTTCAAGTCCCAGACCCAGCAGCTTTGAACTCATGCCGGGCGTGTGTGCATGCATGCTCAAAGTCCCAGGAGGAGAATGGAGGAGAAGAAATTGCAGTATGGCCATCCCTCCAAGGATGATTTCTCCCTTTTAGTTCCTTTGTCTCTCTCCGCAAGTGCATGCACCCTATAGCAAAAAAAAAAAAAAAAAAAAATAGAGAAGCAAAGAAGGAGTAGCTGCACAGAGGGATAAGGTAATGTGAAAATGCCTTCAGAGATTAGAGTGATGAGGCCACAAACTTGGAAATCCCAGGGCGGCCACCAGAAGTCAGAAGAGACAGGGGCAGGGCAGGCAGCAGGTGGTGTGGTCGTTAAGATGCTGGACTCCCACATGGTCTACCATGGTTTGAGTCCTGGACCTGATAGCTTGAAAATCACACCAGGTGCATGTGCATGTGTGCCCAAGATCCCAAGAGGAGAACGAAGGAAAAGGGATTGGAGCATGGCCATCCCCTCTGGGGCATGAGTTCTCACTTTCCCTCTCACTGTCCCTCTGGTAAGAGCACAAGCCCTGCGGCAAAAACCTTTAAGAAAAAAAGGAAGATGAAGAGACAAGGGATGGTTCTGCCAAATTTCAGCCTTCAGAAAAAGAATAATTTGGGGGTTATGTGTATGTATGCATGTATAATTTTGCTATAGAGCACATGCACTCACTGGAGAGACAATGAAAGGAAGGCGAGAAATCACCCCAAGGGGGCTTGACCACATCTCAATCCCCTCTCCATTCTCTTCTCAGAATTTTGGGCATACACACACATGCTCACCTTGTGTTTCTTTCTCTTTTTCTTTTTTAAAGAATTATTTTATTGACCTTTATTTATTTATTTATTTATTTTTAATTGACCAGAGAGGGACAGAGTGAAAGAGAGAGAGAAAAAGTGAGAAAACAAGCCACCAGGTCCAGGACTCAAATTACAGTCAGCCATGTGGGAGTGCAGCACCCTTAACCACCACGCCACCTGCTGGTCCCAACCCACCTTGTTTTGGGTCTGGGACTTGAACCATACAGTTGGCTGTGTGGGATCCAGCCACCTTAACCACCACTGGCCCACAGATTAATTTATTTTAATACTATTTTTCATTTCAACCAGAATCTACAAAATATTATCATTTCAACACATAATCAATATAAATTATTCACGAGCTATTGTACACTCTTTATTTCATACCAAACCTTTAAAATCTGCGTGTGTTTTACACCGACGGCCCTCCTCGGTTCGGACAAGCACATTTCAGGGGCTCGATAGCCGCATGTGACTGATGGCTTCCACCTAGGGCGGCACAAATCGAGCCTTTGGTCGGGCTCTGGGCCAGCATCAGGCTGCAATTTGGGGGTCCTATCTGCCTATGAGTCACACTCCCACACAGACCATGTGCCTCTTGGGGGCAGGAATCTTGTCCCAGTCATCTCTGTATCCCAGTACCTGGACATAGGGGCATTCAATAAATGTGGGGGCATTCAATAAATGTGTTTTGAATCAATGAAGAATGGGGTTTGCCATAGAAAAAAATCCTATCAGAAATTACAGTGTTTTGTTTGTTTCATTCATTTTCCCTCTTCTCTAGTGAGAGAAGTACAGGAGGCATCAAAATATAAGCTAGGTGGTGAGGCACAGTCATTCGGAGTGTACTATATGTTGCCAGAATCCACATGGGAAGGCTCTGGATTTGCACCCTGGGTCTACCCGAGCATGCCAAACACGCCATGATCCTGGCCGGCTGCAGGGCCAGGGAAATGATGTATATTGAGGTTAAAATAAATGCTATGAGGACCAGCCCTGTGGCCCAGGGGTTGAAGGACCCGGATCCCACAAGGCCAACTGTGGGGTTCGAGCCCTAGTAGTTTGAAAAACACACCAATTGCATGTGACCCTACTACCAAAGCCAGATAAAGACATTAAACGAAAACTATAAAGTCTCTCATGAACATATATGCAAAACTCCTCAACAAAATATGCAGGACATTCAACAAGTTCATAGAAAATACATATTTTAAAGATTATACAAGAATTTCAAAAATGTTTATACCAAAATAAACTGATACTTTAATTCCATTTTTCTATGAATGTTTGAAAGTCCCCTCATATTAGCAATTAAAACCTAACAATGTATAAAAAAAATAAAAAAATAAAAAAAACCTGTCTACTGCAACCAAGGGGGATTTACCCCAGGTGTACAAGGCAAGTTTAATGTTCAAACATCAGTTAATGTGGGCCAGCAGGTGGCATGGTGGTTAAGGTGCTGGATTTCCACACAGATAACTGTGGTTCAAGTACCAGACCTGGTGGCTTAAAAGTCACAATAAATAAATAGGTAAACAAATAATATTTTAAGTCAATTAATGTAACTTAGCACATTAATAGGCTAAAGGAGGACATTCTCATGATCCTATCAATAGACATAGAAAAAAATGTCATCCCATCCTTTGTGGGGGAAGTTAATCATCTCAAAGGCAGTACACATAGGGGGCAGGACTGAGCAAGGTCTGTGAGGCAGCTGAGTCTGGAACCAGCTTAAGCTAAAGGAAGTGGCCAGATATAAACCAGATCAGCTATCATGCCAAAAAAGATGGTAACGCTCAGGCATGGGATCATAAGGCTAGCAGTGCCCCCCAACCGCAGCCCTAAAGAACTGCTGTGAAACCTATCCTTAGTGCCAGCCCAGGGGAAGTACCCAAGGCAGTTTCCAGAGTTGGCACAATCCTGGCCTCACACTTGGTCTCCCTCACACGTGCCCCTTCCACCCAAGAAACTCAGCAGATGCCCTCCTCCCACCCCCTGCCCTGAGCTGCAGCCTGGGGGTGGGGGGGCGTGGGGGGTGGGAGGCTGCCAGGTGTAATGCACCCTGGCTTGCAGCTACATTCGCCTCAAGGAAATGACGTTTCTTCATTCAAAGATATACTCACCAAGCCATGTGCCAGCTGGGCTGCAGCAGCACCCTGAGACACCTTGTAACACCACCACCAAGAGGGGCACTTCGTACAACTTGGCACAGCTTTGCTCAGAGGTATCCCGGGAACCGGCTCATCATATATCCTAGAGTCCACAGGGCATCAAAAGCCACAAGGCCAGAAGCCCCTCCACGGAGCATAATGGGGGTGCTGGGCAGCCCACTCTGGGACTAGCCTGGGGGCATCACCATGAACCTAGACTGGAGACTTGGCCAGTTTCCCTACTTCAGACCAACCTGCCCAGACTATCATGACTGGACACCCCCTCCCAACAGGCTGGGATCCCTAGCCCTGAACAGGGACAGAGTCAGAGCCGTGGAGAGGGGGCAACTGGACTTCTTGACTTCCCATCATCGCCCCACCCCTGGAGGAGCTGGGTCCAGGACAGACCACAGAGAGAGACAGCCCAGGAATGAAATCATGAGTGATGGGTGCTACCGCCCCTTCTCAAAGCCCTCCTCCTGACACGCTGAGCCTCCCCTCCTCCTCTCCACTTGGAGCCCCACTCCCAGCCTAGAGACATTATGGTAAAGAGAAGGAAAAAGAGATCAGAGCCCCGCCTTCCTTCCAGTGGGCCCCTGTCCTGAGCTGCCACAGTGTGACGCAGCCAGACACACAGGAGGGGCCCCGGAGAGTCTCCTGGGTGTGGCATCCTGCTTTGCCAAGGCCAAGACCCCACTCCCTGCTAGCTCTGCCACCCCACCGCCTCCATTCCAGGTGGCACATGGCTTGGAGAGGTGCCTGCAGCACACCTTGGCCCTGGCAATGCCCCATGCAGGCAACGGTTCCCCTGGTCATGGGGTGCACTGGGAGGGCCAAGCAGGGAGCCCCTCACACACTCCTAGCGCCAACACCCTGCAAGGCCAGGTCATTACTTAAGACTTCCCTTTCCCCTGCCATGCCAGCCTCACCTGGGCTGCAGGTGCGAACAGGGCAGACACAGCAGGGGCGGGGCTTGCCTGCTGTCAGGGCCACGTGTAGGGCCCCGCAGGGGAGGAGGGCTGACGGGCTGCTCTTAAGGCAGGTCTGGAGGTGAACTGGCACCTCCTCTTACTCCTCACCTTGGCTCTGAACTGTCTGGGTCCCAGGAATCCGTGCTGAACGCTACAGCCCGCCTGCCGTGGACACCAGGTAGGTGCTTTTATTCTTTAAGGAGAAGAGAGGGACACTGAGCCCCTTCCCTGACCCTGATTCTTTAAACTTTGTCCTCAGCCTCTCCACTTCTCTGGGTTCAGAGAGAAGGTGGAGAGAAATGCAGAAGAGATAAAGATCAGAGAAAAAACAGTCCCGGGATTACAGACCCTGGAGTTCAGCATTTTAAGGGAACTAAATCTGTAACTCTTCAGGGTACAGATGAGAGAACTGAGGTCCAGGGAGGGGAAGAGCCTTGCCTGAGGTCACAGAGACGTGGGAAGGGCCTGGGCACAGAACTCCGGACTCCTGTCTCCCCGTCTGAGTGTTGGGTCCTTAGAGACAGGGACCTAGCCTTTGCTGGCCCTGCAGCCCCTGCCTGCTCCCACATCCTGCCTCACTGGGTCTGGTGGAAGGGACAGGATGACCAGGGATCACTCTCAGAGACTGATGGGTGCAGTGGGGTTGGACCGTTGAAACAAACTGCTTTTGAGCAGCTTCAGTTACCACCCTCTCCCACCCTCTTCCTCTGCTGACACGGTTGGAGGGAGAGGGTAAGTCGGGAGAAGAGGCTGGCAATGGAGCAGAAGAGGGGTTGAGCCAAGGTGCAGGGTCTCCCTGCCCCCGGAGCCCTTGGGAACAAAGAGCTCCGAGTCAGAATCGAATCAAAATCAGAAAGGGGTGGGGGGACAGGAGTGTTAAGTCTGTGCAGCAGCAGCACAGGGTAAGAGTGTGGTTCCAGGGATCAAACCCCAGGGCCACCACTTGCAGGGCGTGGAGTCGGGCAAATTCTTCAGCCTCGGGGCCACACTGTAACAGTGCTCTCGGCAGAACTGCTGAGAGAATGGAATGCATTACGTTTTAGTGTCTTTTAAGTGTCCTGTCCCCATTATACAGATGGGCTGCTGATTCCCGTCCAGAGAGGAAAGGACCTTGCCCCAAGTAGTACAAAAGCAGTGTCCACATCAGTAGGCGGGGGGCCTGGTCATGGCGGGGAGACCCAGTCACCCAGTGCACTCTACAAAGTTGGCAACTCCAGCCTCCCCTGCAACCTGCCAGAAAACCCTGAGAGCGTGCCCAGATCCTGTCCCAACAAACCCAGGACACTTGAAGCCTGTGTGGAAAAGCTGTGGCTCCAGCTCTGTGTCCTCGGCTGCCCCCGGGAAGGAGTTCGGCCGGCTCCCTTCCACTGCCATTTATAGACACGCTCCAACGCTGCCTGGACCGTGCCACCCCCTCCATGACCAGCCAAGAAGAAATCTGGCATCGAGCCTATAGGAGCCTTGGGGGAGTAGGAGGGGAAAAAGGGGGTCTGGTTTTTCTCATGACCTTGCTGTGCAAACTTGGGCAAATCAGGCCCCTTGTCTGGACCTCAGGTATCCCTCTACATTTGAACCCCATGTGGCATAAGGAATTAAGATTCCAAAGTTCCAGGGCCAGCAGATGGCGTAGCAGTTATGTCACTGGACTCCCACGTGGCCAACCATAGTTCAAGACCCAAAGCAGGTGGCTTGAAACTCACGCTGGGTGCATGTGCAAGTGTGCCCAAGATTCTGGGAGAAGAATGGAGGAGAAGGGATTGGAACATGGCCATCCCCCCTAGGGGGTGATGTCTCACTTTCCCTCTCACTGTCTCTGTCTCTTTCTTTCTCGGCGAACACACGCTCCCTAAGGCAAAAAAAAAAGATTCCAAAGATCCATGGCCTGGGTTTGGATCTCAGCTCCACCATTTTTCTGGATATGCAGCCTACACAGCTTTCTTTCTGATTCTCAGTCTCCTCATCTGTAAAATGGACTGATAAGAGGAGTGCAGGACTTCCAAGGGTTGTGAGAGGATTAAGAGTTATCAAACATAATTCTTGGACCAGCCGGTGGCGAGGTGGTTAAGGCAGTTGGGTCCTACATGGTCAACTTCACGGTTTAAGTCCTGGACACAGCGGCTTGCGCATGCTCATGTTAGGTGCGTGTGCATACGTGGCCATAATCCCAAGAGGACAATAGAGGAGAAGGGATTGCTGGGTGGCCATCTCCTCTGGAGGGTGATTTCTCACTTTCCCTTTCTTCCCCCTCCCCCAAACCACACAAGCATACTCGTCCTATAGCAAAAACGTAAAATAATAATAATAAGTCTTATGTAAATCACATAGGTTAGTGCCTGGCACAAGGGGAGTGATCAGTGAATGGGAGTTACTACTGCCAGGTGTCATCCTCTCTAAGCCTTTATTTCCATGTGGAATTTCGAGTGGTCCAGCTGCTTTCCACGGTGCTCCCTGGGCGGGGCCAGGGCATGCTTGTGCCCACCTCACAGATGAAGAAACTAAGGCTCAGAGACACACCATAAGGAGTTGTTTGAACTGGAATTCAAATCTAAACCTCCAGATTCCAGAGTCTACGTCCCTTTCTCTTACCCCAGGCTGGTCTCAAATGGTTTTTCCAGCACCAGGGTCTGACTCTCTGGCAGGAGGTGGAGGCAGCGTCGTAGGAAAGAGGAGAAACAGAGTTGGGGAATGTTGGGGCAGCAGATGTGGAGCCTCTGGGCATGTAGCGAGCATGCCGCCAGCATGTCCCAGCTTCGTACAGTTTCCTCGGTCCCAGAACCGCTTACCTTCTAATGGCCCCACCTAGAAGAAACTAGCACACCTCATTAAGATTAGACAACAGGAAGAACTTTTCACAGCAAAGGAAATGAGGACAACACCTCTTCCCAGATGAGCCCCCGGGGAGTGACTATCATCTGATGGTGTCACTCCACAGCTCAAAACTTTTCTGTGGCTCCCTGTTGCCCTCAGGGTTGAGCTGGCAGTCCTGAGCCTAGCCCACAAGGCCTCACCCCATATCTCCCGCCATCTCCCTAGGTGTTCTGTTTCCGGGTACTTACTAATACCTCCCAATCTCTCCTGGGTATTTAATAATGCCTCCCGGTCTCTCCTTACAGACAGGTCTTCACACTTCTACTTTGCACGCTCTCCTGCCTCATCCCTACTTGCTCAGCTACCTCCTGTTTTTCTTTTATTCCCCTTCCTCCAGGAAGTCCTCTATGACCTCTCTACCAGTGCCTACAAAGTCCTTTTACTTCTCCTCCTCCGTGGCGCCACTATTTACAGTTGCTCACCTGCTGACTTGTCTGTTTCACCAACTGGTCTAAGTGCAAGAGCCCAGACATCAGGCAGCCTGAGGTTCAGTCCTTCTTTGACACTTGCTTACAGTGTGACCCTTGGGCAAATTAGCTACCTCCCTGTGTCTCATTCTCTCATTGTAAATGAAGACAATAGTACCTACCTCCAAGAGTTGTGAAGATTTGAAAGGCTTGAGGCGTAAATAGCAGTGCTTTTGTGGATCGCAAGTACTCAATAATCAGCAACTAGGATTCATGTAATAAGATGTCTAGGGGCCAGCAGGTGGCATAGCAGTTATGCTGCTGGACTCCCACATGGCCCACCTCAGTTCAAGTCTCAGACCCAGTGGCTTGACAATCACACCAGGTGCGTGAGCTTACGTGCCCAAGATCCCAGGAGGAGAATGCAGAAGGGAATACAGCATGGCCATCCCCCTGGAAGGTGATCTCTCTCTCTCCCTCTCACTGTCTCTATCTCTTCCTTTCCAGGCGATCTCTTACTTTCCTTCTCACTGTATCTCTCTCTCTTTCCAGGAAGCACACATACCTTAAGACCAAACCCTTTTAAAAATTAAGAATAAGAACAAGATGTCTAGGTTATAGGAGGTAGTCTATAAACATCTACTGAAATTCCTCAATGATTACTGGCTTGATGTTTATTATGTATGTGCTAGGCACTGTTCTAAGCATACTACAAATACAAACTCATTAACAAATAAGCAAACCAAGGCACAGAGCAGTTCATTAACTTGCTGAGGCTTTTCCACTTTAGTGAGTGATGGAACCAGGATGCAAACCCAGACAATCTGATTCAGCATCTGTGCTTTTAAATGAATGAATCAGTATACCTCTGTTTGGGAGAAGGAGGGAAAGCAGGGGCCTCACCTACAGAAGTTACTCAGTTCCCATTCCCGCCCCCTTTCAGGTACTTGGAGCTTCTGGTCAGCAAGTAACATCTCCGGCATGTCAGTTAGGCTGTTTGGAAGCCAGAGGTAAACCGCTGGGGTCACCACCCCTACCTACCATGTCGCAGGTGATGTCCAGCCCCCTGCTGGCAGGAGGTCATGCAGTCGGCTTGACTCCCTGTGAGGAACCCAGGAGGGCTCTACACTCCACAGCAGGCCCCAGCCTGCCACCCCAGTGTCCTTACTACACAACAGAAGGCTGGGGAGCCCAGGCTCTGATGGCCCCCACACCCGGCAAAGGGGTCCCCAGCAGGTTTCAGCAGACACCACAATCTGAGGCCAGAGGCAACTGCCTCCTGCCATCCCCTAGTGAGCAGGCTTCAGGTGCCCCGGATGACCTTGACTCCTACATTGACTTCTCACTGGAGAGCCTCAACCAGATGATTCTGGAACTGGATCCCACCTTCCAGCTGCTTCCCCCAGGGACTGGTGGCCCCTGGGCTGAGCCTGCTCACAACACAACCTCCAGGAAAAAGAAGGAGGAACCTGAAGCCTTAGGTAAGGACCTGGGCACACTGCTGGGGGTTGGGGGAACTCATGCAGAGGCCTTTCCTACGGAATCAAGGAGACAGGGGATGTGTCCTGTGGGAAGGCACCATGCAGCCCTTAACAAGTTGCCGATCTCCCTGTTTTCTCTGTCACAAAAGAGAGATAAATACAATTTTCTCTCTCTAACCAATTCTATTTTCTGTTTGGAGAGGGATGGGTACCTATTTTATATGATTTTCACGAAAACATAAATAAGCTAATTCATAGAAACGTTCGTACATTGCCATGTATATAAATAAGAGCTCACGGTTCAGTGGGGTCTCTAAGTCCTAACCTGGGCCTACTGACATTTTTGTAGGATTGTCATCTGGGCCCCTGTTCCTACTGGGTTCTAGGAGGCCCAAACTGGATACCGCGGAGTTGGAGAGACACTATTCAGACTGTTTAGGGCAGGGACCCTGATGTGTTCATGCTGGTAAATCTTCAACAAGTGGCTCCCTGGTTGTGGGGCGGAGACAGAGGAAGCCCCGCATTTGAGTATTTGCCCATTCCCATGGTCTAAAGTCTTCTACCATGGCCAATTTGAAGTTACCCACACGACGTCACTGAACATGGGGTTGGAGAGAGATGCCCGGTAGCAGGCTGTTTGTTACACAGCATTTCCACCATGCCAACACAACGGTGTAAATAACTTGGAGAGCATAGGTAATGGTGAACGCAAAAGAATTTTGATGTGATGACTTTTGGGAATTTATTACCTTTGTTTTAAGATAAGTTGTTTCATTGTTAAGTTTATATAATGTAATTTTTAATAACGGCTGAGTTTAGCAACCATCTGGACAAAATCCTGAAATTTTAACAAGCAGCTCTTAATAAGTTGGTTCAAGTCAACCCCAGTACACCACCAAGGCCAAGGGAATCTGGAAATCTCTCCATCTGGCTTCAGTTTTCCAAAGAAAGAGTTTCAAATTTAAGCTGAGGATGAGGGTCAAGGAGGAGCAGCCCCGTTAGACAGGCTGGACGTCTGAGGCCTCCAGGGTTCAATGATCAGCAGGGCTGAGTCATGATTAGACAGGACCCAAGAGAACTTGCATTTACCAAGCACTTACCATATACCAGGCTCTGTGCTGAGCACTTGCTATAGAATCGTCAGTCCTCCCAGTGCACTCCCAGGAGGTGAGCGTTCTATTCCCATTACAGCTGAAAAAACTGAGGTTGCTCAGGTTGAGGAAGGAGCCAACCTAGCCTCATCACTGGAGTCGGGCTGACCTCACACAAGCTGTTTACTCACTTTGTGTCTCAGATTCTTCTGTAACATGGAGATGATGAGCGTTCTTATCTCAAAGAGCATTCATTGCGAGGGTTTACAAAAAATAACATTTGTTGGCCACTTATCACAAATCCTGGCATTACAAATGGTGGCTAACTTTAAGCCTTGGGGTTGTGTGTAGGGCCAGCCTAAGGTAGCTTTGGGCTCTGGGGTGGACCTAGAGCCCCACACCCAGGCCCTCTGGCACCCCGAGCTCCTAGCCTCCAGCCTGCTCTCCCTCCTCCCGCTATGCGCTGCCTGCCAGGCCTGTTAAAGAAACCGCCTCCATCCCTCAAGAGTCCTCTTCCTGCTTCTTAAGGCCAGTCATGAACACGTCATTGCAGGGAAGGCGTCCTGGGCCTAATTACTGTTGGCAGGAGCAAGCCCACGGTTTTAATGTCCATGCCTCAAGGCAGGAGTTCCACACATCCAAGGCCAGCTGGGGCCAGACTGCTCTGCACAGCATCCACACGGGGTGCAGGGTGGTGACTACTAGGCCCTTCCTCCATGGAGGGGACGACCAGCATGGGGCTGATGGGCAGTGGTCTGTGTCCTCAGATACCCTGAACACGTCCAATGCCTGCAAGCTAGCTCACTGCCGCCTAGGACCTCCTAGGACCGCCCAGCAGGTCAGCTCCCCGTAGGGAGTTCTCTACCGTCACTAAGAACAGTGTGCGCCTGCAGTTTGCTGTGGTCGTGCGTCTTGGCCTCCCCGACCTCCCAAAGACCGCTGATGCTGTGACAAAGCTCTCACCAGCCCATGGCGGTGTAACTAATTCTGGGTATGTGGTGAGTTCTTTTCCATCTAAATGTAATCCATGTGAACCTCATCTCCCACCACTTTGCACTCTCTGTCCTACTTTGTAGGTGCTGTAGGGAAGACATCCCACCACGGTGGTGCTAGCAGATGTCACTGTCCCCCTTTGTCCTCACTTGAGGAAAATTGAAGCAATGATCTTACATCAAGTCCTATCCGAAATGTATATAAAGTAGATTTCTTTTAAAACTGGTCTGTGTGGGACCGGCAGTTAGCGTAATGGCTGTGTCGCTGGACTCCCATGTAGTGGACCATAGTTCGAGTCCCGGACCTGGTGGCTTAAACTCACGCTGGGCGTGTGTGTGTGCGTGCCCAAGATCCTGAGAGGAGAATGGAGGAGAAGGGATTACCGCATGGCCATCCTCCCTGGGGGGTGATTTCTCACTTTCTGTCTCTTCGTCTCTCTCTGTCTTTCTGGCGAGTGCACGTGCCCTATAGCAAAAACTCTCCAAAAAAGAAAAAACTAGTCTGTGTAATGCTTGATCTCAGTGTCTACCCTGTGAAGGAAATAGTAACTCATTTTACAAATGGGGAAACTGAGGCTCAGGGAGAGGAAGTGATGGCCTGGATCCCACCGCTAACAAGTGGTAGCCTCATATCCCAGGGCTCTGACTCCAAAGCCCATGTTCCCATCTTCTTCTCTTTCTGGAGCTAGTTTCATGCCCTCCAGGGCATCACAGATTCCAGCCATGCCGAGGCAGCCCACAGTCTCCCTTCCAGGCTTGCCTTCCTCAGTGCTTCGTGCTGAGGTTCCCTGTCCCTGCCTCTCGCTCCCCTTCTTGTACACTTACCCTCCCATAGGGAACATGGTTGCTAGAAGCAAATACCACATCCCTCACTGTATCCTCTCTGCCACCACCGACCCTGTCTTTGGAACAGGCCCCCACATTCCATTTTGCAAAAATTGCTGCCCAGCAAGGCTGTTTGCCAGCCTGAGGAAAGGTTGTTTAATAACTGTCTCTCCACCCCAAGCCCACAGGCCCTCCCTGACTCGCCCAGCCTGGTGCTGGCGCCCCGGCATCCACCCAGTGCTGCTCAGACTTGCCCCGCAGGCCTGTAAACAGCAACTGCACCCTGGTGATGGGGTGGGGGCCCCTGCCTTCCCCAGCCACAACCACCCCAGGACAGCACAGGGAGGTGACTCACAGCACCAGGGCCTCTTCTTCCCTGCCCTGCCTTGCTCCCAGGCAAGGTCCTCAGTGGGTATCTGGGTGATCCAGTGAGGTGGGGGCCCTGAACTTCACCATACTGGGACGCCCCCCTAAACCAGCCAAGCACCTTCTCACAGGGCAAGGCCTTGGACTAAGGCCCCAAGAAGCCCCTCCTTATTCTGGAAGAAGCCCTTGAACAGAGCTAAGGAGCAGGAGTCAGGTTCCTCCACTCCCTGGCTGTGCAGCTTTGGATAATTCACTGAACCTCTCTGAGCCTTGATCTCTTGGCTGTTATATGGGAATTCGTATTATTTCCTACACCACTAGAGTTGTTATGAGGATTAAGGGAGTTAATACTAGTAACACATTTGGAGCAGTGCTGGCATGTAACACTCAATAAATGCCATCTGAATTAAAAAAGGGCCATGCAATTAATGCTAACTGTGGTCCCACTTTCCTCTGAACCTCAGCTTCCTCCTCTTTAAAAATAACGTCTGCACATCCCAAGGGCTGTTGTGAGGTTCAAAGGAAACTATAGCTATAAACACTACGGAGACCTATAGAAATAGATTCTGTGCTTGTCAGCCTTCCAGAAGAATCCACCCTATTCTAAGATCTCTTTTCTTTCAGAGTTCACTTTACAAGGCCCCAAACATTCTCCCCTTACCCTCGTTGTCCTCCTAGACTGGAGGAATGCGCACTATAGTCAGAGTGCCAGCAGGGGCACTGCCTGCCCACCCCCACCCCTGAGGCTCCTTCTTTGAGGCCTGCCATAGGCCAGGCTCCATCTATCATTGTATTTAATCCTCATCGCAACCCTGGGAGGTTGGTTTTAGACCCTCGCTTTGCAGATAAAGAAACTCAGGCTCAGAGAAGTTGCTGGAAAAATGGTAAAGCCAGAACTTGTACCCAGGTTTGTCTGGCTGCAAAGCCAGGGTGTTCTCCCACCCCTGAGAAGCAAACACAGGTTAGCCCGCCAGCCCCTGCTCATCTGATGTAATCCCACCCCACCCCTGGCCCAACAGGCTCAGACAGAGGCAGTAACTGTGAGCAGGGCCAAAAGGCCCTACCCAGGAGCGGGCTGGGGCTTGACTCCACAGTCGCGCTGGGGGAGGGCCGGCACCTGTACAGAGACCAGTGCAGGTGGGAGGCCAACGGGCAGAGGTGAGAGTGCTGACTTCCCCAGAGTCAGCCCAGCCTCTATCCAGGGAAGTCAGAGGCAAGACTCACAGTCCTCCAGAGGGGAGTAGCCTGTTCCCCCCAACCTTCCACCCCCTTTGCTGGAAAGCACCCGAGACAGTCCCCGCTGCCCCAGGTTGGGAGGAGGGAAAACACCAGGGCACTCCATGCCAGGGACAATCTCTGGAAGAGAAGAGAGATCTTGGAAACCCAAGGGTCCTGGACACTCCCTAGGGAATGGGAAGTACACTGGAATGAGACTGCAGCTTGAGCGTGTTAGGGGACAGATCATCCTGCCCACCTGGGAGTGCAGGCAGGGAGGTCTGGCACAGCAGTGCTGGAGCCCGCTGGCCCTCAGAGAGCTCCCGCTTTACAGGTTCTCACCTAGATCCCCGGGTCTCGCTAAAATGCAGGCTCTGACTCTGGAGGCTGGGGTGGAGCCTGAATTCTGCCCATCACACCAGTTCCCGGGGTGAGCCGTGGTGCTGCTGGGCCTCGGGTCACAGTGCTGAGGCTGGACACATACTGGGATCACCTGGAGAACCAAACAAACGAGCAAGCCTGAGGCCTGCATCCACCCCAGAAACTCTGATCTGGTTAGCATGAGGTGCAGCCTGGGCACCGTGGGGTGAGCCCAGCATGTACGCAAGCTTGAGCTTTTTTGTAGGTACAGACCGAGAAAGAGTTTTCACAATACCCCGAGTAACAGAGAGGTGTCACATGCCACCAATGCACTCCAACAAGCCATCATTTCAACCTGGGAGTGGGGCAAAGACAAAGGAGAGGATCTCTCTGCTTTTTAACCCCTACTATGTGCCAGGCCCAGTGCTGTGCATCTACCCTAACCTCATGTTGTCCTTATTACAACAGCAACAGGCTGGGCATGGTCGCCCCCTTTCAGAGGTGTGGAAACAGAGACTGTAAGTGGTGGCATCATCTAGCCTCGCTTGCTCAGACGATAAGTGGCAGAGTTGGATCTCAGAGCCAGGCCTGTCTGATTGCAAGGCCTGCCACTGCGTCTCCCCACCCAAGGGAAGAAGAGGACTTCAGAACTGGGGCCCGAAGACAGAGTTGGGTGCTAATCCTGATTCTGATGAGCTTCTCCTCTCTGGGCCTCAGTTTTCTCATCTGAATAGAAGAGAGTCATTTGAGGTCTGAAAGACCCGTCTAGTGTTTCTGTTCTGTGAATCCAGGCTCCTGGGTTTCATCAATGCTCTGCTTCTTTCCTCAAAGATATAAAGTACATCGAGGTGACCTCCACCAGATCCAGGTGCCACGATGGCCCGCAGCGCTGCTCCAGCCCGTCGGTCACCCCACCCTTCGGCTCCCCACGCAGCGGTGGCCTCCTCCTTTCCAGAGACGTTCCCCGAGAGACGCGAAGCAGCAGCGAGAGCCTCATCTTCTCTGGGAGCCAGGGCAGAGGGCATAATCGTCCCCCTCCACCCTGTGGGGATTCCTCCCCTCACCCTCCACCCTCTCCTAGCATCTCCATCCCTTGCATGGGGAGCAGGACCTCAGTCCCCCATGGCTCAGGCTCCCCACTAGTGGCCTCTCCAGGCTTGGATAAGGGGCTGGGGCGCCTGGCCCCACAGAGGGGCAGCAGGGTCTCTGTGCTGTCGGCCAGCCCAGCCTCTGACATCAGCTACGTGTTCGGAAGGTAAGTTTAATAGCTTCTGACGTCACACCGCAACTCACACATACACACATGCGCACACACAAACACACACAGACCTCCTAAAGTCACAGAGGGGCACCCCGTCCTGTCTGAACAAACTCTGGACAGGCACCAGAACTGAAGGGGTGAATGTTCTCTTTTATGTCATCACAGCCATGTGGATCTCAAGCTGTCGATGTAGAAAAATCAATATCCATTTCAATATAATGCCCAAGCCCTGTCCAATGAATTCAATTTACAACAATCTTGACTTCTGTCTTTTGGGAAAAGAGTCGTTGCATGAATGAGGCTCATCTATATCTTTTCCATCCCTCGTACAACCCATCTCATGAGAGAGCTTTTTAAAACCCCCAAACACAGAGATGTGAATAGAATTTAGGGGCTTGAGATGAACCATGTAAGAATGAAAAGCCTCTTTCCTCTTTGCTGCTAGCAAAACCTGGCAAAGTAGGTAGGCCAACAAGCCTGGGCATTATTCACAGCTATCTCAGTTCAGTTCTCCACAGGCCTCACAAGAGAACTGCACACACACACACACACACACACACACACACACACACTCCTTCCTTCCCCAAACCACAGGAAGACCGAACCACGGGCCCTCTATCTCCCACACCAACTCCAAAGCCACCAGCCAAGGCAGTCCATAGCAGAGACGGGATTCCAGCCATGCTGGTCAGCCTGGGCCCTGAGCTCAGGAAGAAGCTTGGTTGGATGTGGGACTGGCCTCCTAGCTGGGGAATCCCCTCTGCATCGGCTGTGGACATGATCCCGTCCATCCACAGGGCTCCTGGGTGTGAGAGGAGGGAGCCCGGGGAACAGCTCCGTCAGACCTGCCTGGCTGGGAGGCAGAGGGAATCCAGGCCAGCCTAAGCCCATGTGGCCTGAGGAGGTCAGACCAATGACTACTTTAAATGAGCAAACCAGCATCCAGGGACATTTCTCTATCTGTCTGCATTCCTTAGGGTTCCGGTTGGCACACCCTTTGCTCTGGTGGGCTGGGCAGGGTGGGGGAGCAGTTATGCAGTGCTTTATTTGGCCAGAGTCATGACGCTCAGATCACTAGATTTCAAAAGCCGCCTCTGAAGCGGTCCCTGAGTATCTGCTCCGGTGCCCTAACACCCCCTCTGGTGCTCTCTCGCCTCTGCAGCAGCCAGTCTCTCCTCCACTCCAGCATTTCCAGCCATCAGTCATCTTCTAGATCCTTGGAAAGCCCAGCCAGTTCCACCTCCAGTCTCCACAGCATTGGCCCAGTGTCCCTGTGTACAAAACCTAGTGACTTCCAGGCTCCCAGCATCTCTACCCCAAGTGCACATCAGCCCAGAGCACCCCACTCCCCACCACTGGCCAAGGAGCATGCCAGTAGCTGCCCCCCATCGATCGCCAACTCCATGGTAGATATACCCATCGTGCTGATCAACGGATGCCCAGAACCAGGGTCTCCTCCTCCCCAGTGGATTCCAGGACCCCAGAGTTCTGTCCAGCCTGGAGCTACTTCTCCCAGCAACCCCTGTCCAGCCACCAGGAGCCACAGCCAGAGCCTGACAGATGCCCCCTTCAGCACATCCCAGGAGGGTACGTTGTAAACCAGCTCTTCAAGCACCATAAGGTTTAGCTGGGGGCAAGACAGAGCACCAGTGGGTCTCTGTGACAGAAGCCAACATGTGTATTGAGTACCTACTATGTGCCCAGCACCATGCCAGGTAAATACACCAGTGGACACAGTCTGGAAAGAAGGTAAAAACCAAGAATCACAATAGAATAGGATAAACCCCAGGGGTTAGAGAGCTTCTAAGTTCTATGGGGCCACTAAGGAAGGAGTGACCCTCTCAGTCCACAGAACAGAGGCAGTGACACTGAGCTCAATCTGGAAAGTGGATCAGAAGTCCATAGCCAGAGAAGGAGAGGAAGGGCATTCCCAGCAGAGGACAGAGAGTCCATGTGTGTGGAAGCACATGGCATGTTTAGGAAATGCCCAGAACTCTGGGTTTGGGGTGAGGTCATTGGCAGTAATTTGGAGCCAGGTTGTGAAAGGCCTTGAATGCTGAGCTAAAATGTAGATTTTGCCCGTTTGGCAGGAGGGAACCATCAGAGAGCCGCCAATGGGAGTGGTGAGGTCAGAGGTGCACGCGGAGCCCTCCAGCAGCTGTGGGCAAATGAAGTGCGGGAGCCTGAGCCAGGGCAGGGCCTCAGTGGGTAGAGGAGAGAGAACAGAGCCAGGCGATGACCCTCTGGCTGTCTTGAAGTGGCAGGCTTGATGACTAACCCGAGGGGAGCGGAGGGCGCGTCAGTCCCAACTCTGATGTGCATGGATGACGAGAACACAGAGGGGGTGGGCAGGGAAATGGAGACCATGCGTTCCAATCCAGACAGCTGAAAACCACAAAATAGTAAACAGCCTCCTTTCTTAGCCTGGACTACAGACGTCCAGAAAGAACAAAACCAACCAGAACTCACCACAGCCAGGGCAGAGGCTCAGCCTTAGCACATCCCCGCCCCGGGTGCGTATGTCCCATGAGCAGGGC